GATGGATGGATGGATGGATGGATGGATGGATGGATGGATGGATGGATGGATGGATGGATGGATGGATGGATGGATGGATGGATGGATGAAGATATTAACAGATAAAGGGACAAGTGGCTAGACAGGCAGATGGATTGTTGGACAAACAAACTGATGGACAATGGAACCACCAGATAGATGCAATCTTAAGACAAAGAGACGGGATGAAAACATCTAAAAATATTTAATTTTCTATGAAAACCTAATAAATTCATCAATCCTAGTCAGACTACAGGGTATTAAATAAGAATTCAATAAATTGCTCCGACACCCCCTAGAGTGCACCACAGTCTCAATTATTAATCAGTTAATGAAAAAAGAAAAAAAAAATCAAATGATCAACTGATTAGCAAAATAATCACAAGCCACAGTCCTAATATCGAATTAAGCACTAAATAAAAGTGAAGTAAAAATAATGTGAACAAGGGGAAAAGAGTTAAGGCCACAATCAGACTACAATTCTACCCAAAAACACTTTAGGTATAGCACTATATCGTCTGCAGGATGGCTAGTTTTTTGGGTTTTTTTTGTTTTTTTTAAGAAGATTTTTTTTGTAAATAAAAAACAAAACAAAAATATTATCAAATAACCAAATCCAGGCAGCTTTCCAAGCAATTAAGTATAAATTATCCATTTCCAAATAAAGAATTATGGATTTGTGTTTCCTCATTATTTCTAGACTTGAACCACACTTGGTTAAAGTGTTTCATTATGTTTATAAATAAAAACCTATGAACACCTTTAAAATTCTTATTAGATTTAGCGACTGAAGTTAAGAAACACTGGTATAAACCATGATTGTGTTAAAGAAACAAAGTTTTTTGAACATTGGTTTATTCTTAACCAATATTTGGTGTCAGCTGTCCCTTAAAACACACCACTTAGGATAAAAGTTGGGTTTTTACTCACTCGTGTTGCTTCCACCACTGGTTCCAACTGTGTTGATGGTTGCTGGCACTGAGGACGATGGGTAAAGAGAGAGGTGTCCGTTCTCACAGCTCTGCTGCTGGTGCCAGCCTCCACCGATTCCTGAATCGCGAGAGTTCTGCCACCCGTTGAGACGATCGTCTGAGCCATAACGCTGGTGGTGGTGCAGGTTGTACAGGTTCCCGGACGAGGAAGAGTTTGTGGAAGACAAGGATGATGAGGAGAGGGTGGAAGAGGGTGTGGACTGATGATGGTGATGGTGGGGGCCAGAGGCGGGAGGGGGCCTTTCTAGGGAATCCCCCCTCGCAGCAGCCCTCTCCTCCAAGTGGTTCAGCCAGAGCGCCAGAGCGGAACGGTCATCCAAGGAGGTGGCGGGATGGATTAGAGCATAGGACAGAAGCTGGCGGGACTCCTCCAGGTGGTGGCCATGTTCGATGGTGTGGGCCAGGATGCGGGGCAGCAGACGCATGTACTCGCTCTTAGCTTCCGTGTTGCCCGGTTTCAGCAGAGGGAGGTGGGTAAGGACCAGCGAGATGATGCGCTCCTTTGGTTCACTTTGCCACTGACTGATAAGAACTGTGAAAACAAATAAGTAGAAAATAATCAAAAGGTGTAGAGAACTACTCATATCTTTTCAAGCCTTAGTTATTGCTCAACGTGTATGAAATCGTCTCTGCAGCGATTGGCTGTCTAGTTAGCAGCAGCTGATAACAGCTCTGCAACATATGAGTGGGGCTGGTTTTACAGATAAAGGGTCTGTTCAGTGTTAGTCTTTAGGTGCGGTTTAATGGTAATTACTTTGCAGCCTGTAGCAAAGTGGTAAATGGACCAGATCTACTGTAAGAAACTTTTCTCCTGTCCCCATGATTGCTTCATGAATTATAATTTGCACAATACCAGTGATGCAATTTGCCATGAGAAAATAATGCATGTAATTTTACATAGACTGCAAAAGATACTTTTTGGTAACAAAAAACAAAGATAGATAAAAAAACATTAAAAAAAAGATACTTGGGAACCTGAAAGAGCGAGCTCCATTTAGGAAAAAGGTTAATTTTTTAAAAAGAACCTGAATTCCCAGCACATCAGATGTCGAAGTGGATGGATGCTGGAATAAGACAAGTGCTCTACAATAAAATATGTTTTTAATTTTCAGTTTCAAAGCTGCTGTCATCATATGTCTCTGAAGGCTTTAACCAGTGGCGTCTTATGCCAATCCTTGAGAGGCAGTGTCATGCCTGTTTTAGAGCTTCCCCTCTTTCATCACTCCTGAATCGTTTTTTAAATTCTACAGGTCTCTGTATAATTTGGTGATGTGATAATTATACCATACTCCATAACAGCAACGCATTTAAACCATGCCTGATAAAATCCCCTAAAAGTTGGACACCCTCAGTTTAAAGTCCGTTTTACAAGATGCCTGAGATGCTCTCAGTGGAGTTTTTTTCCAGCTGTTCAGACCATGCAGTCAACTGTGCTCTACCAGCTGATGCTGTGCACTGTTGGTCAGCTGGATGAAAGAAAGCAGTAGCACGCTTGCTCTAAAGAAAAGGAAAGTTTTTGCTTTTGAACAGCATCAAGAGAAAAGAGTGGTGAGGTGTAAATTGAAGTTATGTAATAAACAGCTATAGGGTGACATCCAGAGAGTGGTTCTGTAGAGGATATGAGAGGGTATGAGGGTTTTTGAGTTTTTAAGATGGTATTGAATGCACCTGTCTTTTCAGATTACCAGCGAATGCAGCATCAAATGGCTAGACTTTGCCTAGCTTGTGATATTAGAGTATCAATATATTATTATTAACGCAACATTAGAGCATTTTTCAAAGTCATTGTTTTAGGTTTTGGTGAGCCATTCTGGTTTTTAATGACCCCTTGCTCCTCCTCCCCAGGAACAATGTTTAGGGCCATTACTACTATCCAAGCCAACAATCCGAACAAGTTACCATTTAACATCAGCCTGTTAAACTCATGGCACTCCATCAAGGGCAGGCCAGCAAAAGGTTCATATGTCACTTTTATACGCAGCAAAAAAACTATGTTTATACGTATAAAAATAGATTAATCTTTCTATTATATTTTCAAATAATCAATTAATAGTCGGATGGCAAAAGGTTCCTCAAAGATCATTTTACACTGAATGGATGGAGCTTTAGTAGAGCAAAAACGGTGCCCTTTGAGTTCTTCTGGAATAGAGCATATTAATGCAAAAAAAGGTTTTTAAATTTGAATGCAAAATGTTTATATAGTTTTCACAAATTTGGTATAATAACTACTCTGAGTGGGTTACTCTTTTGGCTAAAGGCCAGTTTTCGAGTCTCTATACACAAGTTAACGATTAATCTATTACTAAATGAGTTGATTATTGGTTGGTTGGCACAGAAATTACAAAGAATCTTTTTTTTGCTTTCTATTAGAAGCCACCAGATTTTTATTGAATAAATATATTTAGAATACAGATTCACAATACCTTGAATTATAACCTGAATATAAGTACATTTGAGAGAAAAACAGACCCACAGCATCACTGGGCCTCCCATGTGCTTAATGAGTATGAGCTCGTCATAAACACATCCATCCTTTGTTTTTCATCTAACTCACATTGAGGGACTCTAACAGGATGGTTTGGTCATATGAGACAAATACCCCATTTACACTAGCCTTTTGAAACCATGCCGCACATGGTACCCCAGATAACTGTTGAATATGAATGGAACTCAACTGAATTGGACCATGCCAGACACATTACATCTAGTACTAGTTCAACATTAGGGCTTGG